TTATCAAATCACATTATATTATCGTCAAATTCTTATCATCCCATATTTCGTTGGAAAACGCACACACACGAATTAACGTCAGCAATGGCTTAGTTTAAATAAACATAACCATCTATGAATAAGTGAAAACGAAAGAAATCAATACATTATTATCAGATTGCATAATTAGACGATGAGGTCATTGATAGATTGGAGATATACCTATGGGGAATATGCGAATAAACAGAACATAGAAAACAAACAGAAGGCAATTAATTAATATGACAATTAATATGACCTCTATCATCTCCTAAGGAGTATTCAACGAGAAAACACTTTGATCATTACTTTTGTCATTGAATCATTCCTAAATCTATTATTTCCGATACAATTGCTGTTATTATCAATACAGTTAACGTTTTTATTGCTATTTCACTATGATTATCACTGCTGATTATCATTATCACCATTATTTTTTTGATAATCTGTCACCATTACGGACAGATCTGGTGTTCTATGATGAAGGTTTGGTGTTGAAGACTCGAAAGGGATTTCGTATCCCTCTGACTGCGGCCACGCTTATTCACATAGTTAGTCTTTAGAGTTATACATAGAATGAGCGATACACTCATTAGTTTTTTAACCAGTACCATAAATACGAATAAAAACAAGCTGTAAGCAAAATTGTAGAGTTCCACTTGAGGAAGACAGTTTTACTCGATGTTGAATAGGGCAAGTACCTTAGAATTACTGGACAGCCTTCAGTTAGTAGCGTGAATTGAGAAAATTCACTCAGTGTTGTTCATTTGCGGTATTTCATTTCATTGTCACTCTTTTCTGAGGCAAGGCTTTGCAAGACAGTCAAGAAATTTTGTCGAAACATATATTTTGATTAGACACTGGACAAGAAATGGCATCTCCCTGAGGTGGCTGTAGTTGTGTCTTCTGTTCTACGTAAATGTATCTACGCATATGTTTTGATCGCAACTGAAACCAGAATATCGTTTCGTACAATGCAAATGATCACGTGTATTACGAATAAACAA